CGAGGTGCGGACACGACGAGGTGCGGACACGACGAGGTGCGGACACGACGAGATCACGTAATGGAGCTCAAACACCTGACGACTGCGTGACATGTCTGCTTGTGTGTCGTGTGTGATGTTTGATGGAGTCTAACAACTTAGATGAGTGTTGATGATCTAACAGGACGTTGTTCACATCATGGTGGAGACATGATAGTCTACAAGGCCCTGAGAGCAGAAAGATCACACTGGTACCATTTCATTAGGAACTGGGTAAATGTAGTGCAGGAATTCTAAGGTTACTTTCTAAATGTTTAATTCCGTTTGAAGACGTCTTTGTTCCTCCTTCCATGTAGAATCCACAGACTGCGTCAGACGTCTGTCTTGGCATCTTGTGGTAGTTTCTGTAAAAACCAGCTGGACTTGAAACACCAAGTGAAGTGAGATGTCTGATGGTTCTCTGTGGCTGCAGATCACTTGTTGAGGCAGGACTGATGAAGTTCAGACCCATGAACTCTGCGTCTGACACAACGAGGACCCCCCCCACACACACACACACACACACATTTTGTCCTTAACCTGATCACATTGTGCTGTGAGGACGAACAGTTCATCACTTCCTCTCATCCCTGTTATCAGAGTTCATGTACGTGCTCGTCTTTCAAAGGTTTTGTCCTCTGTGTTGTGTTTTTAGAGGCTGACGAGACCATCATCATCCTCTACTTGTGGACGTCCCTCACCAGGAGGAAACGACACGTCACTGGAGACGAGGAGAAAGAGAGGTGGAGGAGAGACAGACTACGAGATTCTCTACACGCACTCCTCACATTCTACTAACCCAAGTCCAAGCAGGTGCTACTCTCCTTGGACTTCCTCACAACGGTCCTCCTCCTCCTCCTCTTCCTCCTCCTCCTCCTCCTCCAGGTGTTGCTTGTCTGTGTAAATGTCCTGGACCAGGAGGACTCTGGTGAGGAGGCTCTCAAGGACCATTCGCTCCAGCGGCGTTGTGCTGAACCAAATGGGGTCACTTGGGCTGCAGGCTGGATCCGGCTGAAGGTAGAAGACGTCGAGGCGCTTCCATAACAACGCCGGGCTGGAAGGGAGGAAACGGCAGAAAATAAGACAAAAACGAGAAGGACACCGGGAGTAGAAATGAAACGGGGGGTAAAAGTTTGAACAAGTACACGGGGAAGAGAAAGAATGAAACAAGAGAAAAGTGAATCTACTGTAAAAAAATTTAAAAAAAGACTTAAATGGAGAATGAAGTCCTCAGTCCTCATTAAGTGTCCACAGCAAGGTTCAGAATGTGAACAGCAACAAGTTCTAATCACAGGACTTCAACACTCAGAAACAACAAGTTCTAATCAAATAACAGATCTGACCAGAAATAAGAAGAAAAATAATCAGACCAGTTTCTGTGAAATACTTTCAGATTTACCATTTGGACCTGTAGAGCTCATACAGGCGACACTCGTGCTGCTTTACTGGGCAGCGAACAGATGAGTCCACCGAGTCCTCGTCTTTGTCCTGCCCTTCGTCAGACAGCTTGCGCTTCCTCTTCCTAGATTCTGTTCGAACTTGACAAAAAAAATTTCAGTTAAAAATTACTTAAAATTTTCTAAATGATGAGCCTTTTTAATACGGCTCGCTGATTTGCTGCATTACAATAAAAATAAGTTATTATGGCTATAGTTTTAGGTTTTAGTCCGTTTGCCTTGAATTCTCAGAAGCTAAAAGAAAAAGTGCAACACATTACAATAACTGAAATAATCTCAAATTGTTGTTATTGTTAGGTTACTCATTGTTTACATCGTTCTGTATAATTGTTGTTATTGTTATTCATTGTTTACATCGTTCTGTATAATTGTTGTTATTGTTAGGTTATTCGT